GGAATGTATATCTGTGTTTCATTGACTATGCAAAGGCGTTTGACTGTGTGGATCATAACAAACTGTGGCTGACTCTGAGAAGAATGGGAGTCCCAGAACACTTGATCGTGCTAATGAGAAACCTATACTTGGACCAAGAGGCAGTTATCAGAACAGAGCAAGGAAACACTGCATGGTTCAAAATTGGGAAGGGCATGCGCCAGGGATGTGACCTGTCTCCATACCTCTTCAGTCTGTTGCAGAACAGATTATCCAGGAGGCTGGGCTCTATGAGGAGAAATGTGGGGTCAAGATTGGTGGAAGATCTATCAACAATCTGAGATATGCAGATGGTACAACCCTGCTTGCTGAAACTGAGGAGGACGTGAAGTGCTTGCTGCAGAGGGTCAAGGACTGCAGCCTTCCGTATGGACTGAGGCTCAATGTCAAGAAGACAAAGATTCTCACCACTGGGCCAATTGGCAGCATCAGAATAGATGGTGAAGAGATTGAGATTTTTCACAGCTTCAGTTTGCTTGGCTCTATAGTCAACACTCTCGGCACCAGCAGCCAGGATATTAGAAGATGTATTGCCATGGGAAAGTCTGCTGTTAGGGACCTCTCCAAAGTACTGAAGAGTAATGGTATCTCTTTGGAGACTAAGGTGCATCTGATACAGGCCATGGTCTTTGCTATCACTTGTTATGCATCAGAGAGTGGGACAATGACTAAAGAGGATAGAAGGAGAATTGATGCCTTTGAGCTGTGGTGCTGGAGAAGAGTATTGAGGGTACCATGGACTTCTAGGAAAAGAAACAGATTCATCCTGAAAAGGGTCAGACTGGGCTGCTCCTTGGAGGCAAGGATTCTAAGGCTCCATCTAACATACTTTGGACAAATTGCAAGGAGGGACAGGTTCTTGGAGAGGAACATCATGCTTGTTAGGGTGGAGGGACAGTGCAGAAGGGGAAGGCCCCCTATGAGGTGGATTGATTCAGTGTTTGGGGTAATCAGTACGGGTGTGTCAGAGGCAGTGTGATTGGCACAGGACAGAGCAGAGTTTAGGGATGTTGCACATAGGGTCGCTATGAGTCGTAAACTACTTGACAGCATATAACAACATATTGTCTTGGAATGGGGTCAGAAGTGTCTCCGGAAGGCCTTTCGGCTGAAGCCCCAGGTGGCTCCTGGAGGTCTTCAGTCAATTACTCATCTGCCAGTTCAAATTGATGCTGAAAGTAATGAAAATAACTACAGAAGTACCAAAATATTTGAGTTTATCCTGCTTGCATTTAAAATCATCTCAAGAATAAATTTGAGGCATTACACACTAATAGTCTAAGATCAGATGAATTGTAGAATGGCATAAAAAGTATCCTACAAAGAGAAAAAAAGGTCATAACGTAGACCAAAGAGAAATAAAAGATAATAAAAAAATGGATGTCTAAAGAGACTCTGAAAAGCACCCTAGAGCATTGAGAAGCCAAAATAAGGGAAGAAATGCATAAGTAAAGGACATGAACAGAAGATTTCTAAGAACAGCTCAAAAAGAGAGCAAAATATTTTCATATAGAGAGAGCTGGAGTTGGAGAAGAAAAATGGAAGAACACACTCACTGTTTCTCATGCTGAAAGAACTGAAAAATAACACTAAGTCTCGAGTTGCAATGCTGAGAAATGCTTCCTGGATCATTTACAATTTTATCCATAACATCAGAAGAATATGGAGAGAATACAAAGAATCCCTATATCAAAAAGAATTGGTTAACACTGAAATATTTCAGGAAGTACCGTATGACCAACAGTCAATGGTGATGAAGGAAGATGTTCAAAGTGCACTGAAGGCATTGGCAAAACATAATGCCGTGGGAATTGATGGGATACTAATTGGCATGTAAACTGTGCCAGAACATTTGGAAGGCAGCTACCTGACCTACTGAGTAGAATAGATCCAAATTTGTTCCTATTTCCAAGAAAAGTGATCCAACAGAATATAAAATTATAGAGAAATATCATTAATATAGTATGCAATAAAAATATGCTGAAGATTATCCAAAAATGACTAGAACAGTATGTAGACTAGAAATTGCCATAAGTTCAAGCTAAATTTAGAAAAGGCCATGATACCAGAGGTAACATTGCTGATTTCAGATGGATCTTGGCTGAAAGCAGAGAATACCAGAAAATGTCTATTTATGTTTTGTTGACTTTGCAAAGGCTTTTGACTGTGTGGATCATAACACAGTATGGTTAACCTTGAGAAGAATGGGAATCCCAGAGCATTTAATCATGTTCATATAAAACTTTTACCTAGATCAAGAAGCTGTTGTCTGAATAGAGCAAAGGAATATTGCATGGTTTAAAATTAAGAAAGGTGTACATTGGGGCTGCATCCTGTCTGCATACTTTTTCAATCTGTATGCTAACGAAATCATTGAAGATTCATGACTTATAAAGAAGAATATGTGACAACTGGATTGGAAGAATATTCATCAACAACCTATGTTATGTAGATGATACAACTTTGCTTGCTTAAAGTGATAAGGACTTGAAACTCTTGCTTCAGAATATTAAAGACTACATTCTTCAAATAAATTATATCTCAACATCAAGAAGACAAAACTCTTCACCCCTGGGCTGAAAGGCAACATGACAGAGAAAACTTTGAAATTGTCGAGTATTTCCTCTTACTTGGATCCACAATAACACCCTTGGCACCAACAATCAAGAAATCAAAAGATGTATTATATTGGTAAAGTGAGCTCTCAGGGAAAGAGACAACATTGCAATGTTGTCAGCTTAAAGACTAACGTATGCCTGATTTAGGCCATAGAATTTTCAATCACTTGCCATACATCTGAGAGCTGGAATGACAGAAGATTTTTTTTATTTTTGATATTGGAAAAGAGTACTTACTGAATATTCCATGGACTGCAAAAACAACAAACAGACATGTCTTGGAGAAAGTGCAGTCAGTGTGCTCCTTAGAGGCAAGGATGATGAAGCTTCATTTCACATACTCTGAACATGTCGTTAGGAGGAACTAGTCTTTAGAAACAGAAACCATACTTGCAGAGGAAAAAAAGGAGGACCTTCAAAAATATGGACTGATACAGTGACTGCAGTGCTGGGCTTGAGTATGTCAGAAATGATGAGGATGGCACAGGATAGGACAGGGTTCAGACCTACAGTTTACAGGATCACTACAAGTCACATTTGATGGCACCTTAACAATAACAACAAATAGATAAACACATTTATATTTACTCTTACTAAAGTATAACTATATGTATTTTATACTTATGCCAGTATTATATGGGACTTTAATATCTAAAAGAGTCTTACAAACTACGTAGTTAAGAATCTGTATTGCATATAATTCTAGAAAATAGTTCATCCACTGTGAAATTTTGTTCCCCATTCTACCCCCTCAATTTCAGCAGCACCTAGAATTGTTTGGGCAGCTAGTAGCCATCCATACCTCTTTTCTGTCAAATAATTAAGAAAATAGAACAATAATACTAATAATAATAGAAACTATTTCCTCCCTCAAACCAATTTTGCAATTTTCTCTAGAGTCCAAAAGTTAGCAAAATGCTGGTTTTCTCACTCACCAGAGGTTCCAGTTTGCATCGTTGTTGTTGCTTTCTTGTCTTCTCCTGAGCTTTTGTAATGTGTTTAAAAGTTAGGACTTGACTGTTGAATGGCTTATCTGTGGGGGATAAAAAATTTCGTCTTTCTTTTGCTTTTAAAGCACCTTGACTTTTAAGCAGAGTGCCTTCTAGCTGCTCTTCAGCATTTTTCATACTGTAGTCACTGTCTGTGGCTTGAGAAGCCATCCTTAATCCTGGAAAAGATAGTGACAGGAAAAGATCTATGAATAGTACAATAAAAAGATTACAGGAGGATGGTTAGCAGAGAGATTTAACGAGTAGGACCAGGGAAAGCTGAATTTGTCCGCCTCTAAAGAAAACCCACAAAGCTAGCCCAGTCCTTCTAAACTAAGAATTTGAACTAGAGAAAATTAGGAACAGTGACAGCCTCTAGAAGACCCTAGTAATAGAGTTCAGGAATTTGCACTTCTAACAATTCCTTGCACAGTGCTTGTCTAGATTAGGAATGATAAAGTGAATACAACTAGTACTGAAATCAGTGTTGTTCACAGTTGAGTATGTAAAACACTTCTTAGGGTTCTTGTACAAATTACAAGTAATTCTAATACAGTTCGGCTGAGAAATATCTTCTAGACACTCCAAAAGAGTGGAGGGCTAAAGCCAAGGGCAGTGCTTCTCCAGGTTTTACAAAGTCGTCACTTTAAGTGACATACTCAGCTGGCTGGTGGTCATTCTAAGGAACAGGGCAGATCTAGATTTGATCACTCAGTGTGATATCTCGGACAAGTCTCTTGATAGCTTCAATTCTTTCAATTTCTTTAAAATGGTGAGTGGGGTTGTTAGGTACCACTGAGTCAGCGAGGACTCATAGTGACCCTGCGAAAAACAGATCTGACCCCCACCATCCTTAGAGTAATGGTGTCTCAATCCATCTAGTTGAGAGGTGATCACAAAAATGCCTGTCTATGGCTTGACTCACGAAGTCTTTCCTTATGTGCTTCGAAAGTTTTGCTTTATCTCTGGCTCAGCAGTTGAGACCTGGCTCCAAAGTTCTGGCTCCAACGACTCGCCCGTTCTCTTTAGAGAAATCGACGCTCAGGATCCCCAGAGACCCAGCAAAGCCTAACCTGCAAGTCTGAGAGTAGCAAGTAGGATGCGCCTGGTAATGTTTGCAGTTGCCTAGCAGCCACCCTGGGGCGCTTTGCGTCATTGCGTAACCTGTCTCCATGACAACAGCCAGTCACAGCTCCTAATCCAAAAACTAGCCTGAAAGAGTTAGCCTATCAATGTGTCTGAAGCATTTCCTAAACCTCTAATTGGTGAAAAACATGGACTCTTCCACCCTTCTCCTCCTTGCTCTTAATTAGGGAAGCTAGAGGTTACAGCCACACTGCGAAACCGGGTAGTGAGTTCTCTTGGCTCTTTCGCCGGTCACTGCACATTCTCGTTGTTTTCCTTTTGGATCCCTTTTTCTGTTTTCCCTCATGGGGCTTACTCATCTCTCTGATTGGAAGACTGGAAGTCGTGGAAGAGAGGGTGTGTGTGGGGGTGGGGGGGATGGAAGAGAGAGGGAGGGAGGGAGGGAGAGAGAGAGGAGAGAGGAGAGGGAGAGAGAGGAGAGAGAGTCGTGGAAGAGAGGGGGGAGTGTGTGTGTGTGTGTGTGTGTGTGTGTGTGTGCGCAAAGAATGCACACTCTGCTTTTCTCCATGCCACTATGCCTTTTCTGCAAATGTTCTTCCCCACCTGAAAAATAAACTTGTGATGGACACAGCACACATGCTTGAAATCCATCTAACTTACTGTGCGTTCCTTTCTTGATCTTATTCTAGCCTTAATCCCATTCAATGGATTCGCCAAAGGAAGGCTGGCTGACAGGGCCACCCAGCCAGAGCGCTTTTCTGGTTACTCACTAGGTGCGCCTTGCCCAGTAATAGGTCAGACAAGTCATTCCTTTACCTGCCTGGAGGTGGCAAAGTCCTGGTTTTCAACCTCCCCTTCCAAACAGCACAATCACCACCAGAATTCATTTTCTTCTTTTCTGGTACATCCTATCTCCTTAAATAGTCTCTTTTCGTCTTGAACACTACTACGTGAAGTCTTATATTTGCATTATCTCAATCTTAGCATATTTTTAGGTACAATTTATTTGCTACATATAACACCAGTTACAATTTGAAGAATCATATTGAAGATAAAGCTGGAGATTGCTATCAGTTTTCAAGTAGAATTCTAACCCTTAGAGACAACAGGAAACAGATTGCAAATTCCTTTAATGTTTTCTAATCTGTAATATTTCACTGAATCTCCATGAATATGTGTGTATGCATGCGTGTAAAAAAATTATGTAAGGGAAATTACTCTAGGGCTGGAATTTAGACTATCCTTTGCATTCATTCTCCCAATTACCTCCAACAAGCACAGAACTTTCACTTCTGCAATGATTTTTCTTGTGCTTGGGACATTCTTCTGGGATTGATATTGAAGAGTGTATGGTCTATGGAGCTTGATTAATGCAGCCAGGCAACCAATGGTGCAATGGGGCATCCAGGGCAGCAACAAAGGGCTCTGTGACTGATTGAGATGCTTTCCCAGGAGGAAAAGAATACACAGAGAATGTGAATGCTGAGCAGATTATCAAATAAGATTGATGCAAAAGGGAAGTGGAAAAAATTGAGAGTTTGAAATGGAAAAATATCAAATGATACATGAAACCAAACTCACTGCTCCAATGCCTGACAATTCTCCAGCAGCTTTCTGAAGCTGTGAATCTAAACAGGAAGAGAATGCTGCAGTTCCTCCATGCAGTAGCTGGTGGGTTTGAATGTTGGCATTTCAATGAGAAACCCAACATTTACTCTACTATGCCACCAAGACTCCCAAGAGGCTGCACTGCTTTTAGGCATTGTCAGATCAGCTCAAAGTCATAACAGCCCCTCTGTGGGATCCTGCAGCGTCCTCACAACCTGTGCTTTTCTTAATCTTGTTGCAGTCTATGTTGCAATCCATCTCATTGAATGGCATCTTCTCTTTTGCCAACCTAATCTTCCAAGTACCATGTCCTTTTCCAGGGACCAAGCTGGTGGCTGAGTGGTAAGTAATTGCACTGCTGATGTAAAGATTTGCAGTTCTGATCCACCAGCTGCTCCACGGGAGAAGGCTAGGTGATTAAATGCCTCTGAAAACTTGTTAAAGGGTCAGCTATGGGTCCCTTCTGACTCAACAGTACACAACAAAAACAATGACAATCACACGGCCAGAGTATGTAAGATGAAGTCTTGCCATCCTTGCTTCTAAGGAGCACTCTAGCTGCAGTTCTTAGAAGATAAATTTATTCATTCTTTGGTGGTCCATTAAATACTCTTCAATGCTCTTTACTAATGCCACAATTTATAGGCATCAGTGCTTCAATCTTCTTTATTCACTGGCCAAATTAACATATGCATAGGAAGTAACTGAAAATATCACACTAGGGTCAGGTACACCTTAGGCTTTAAAGTGGCATCACTGATTTTTTAGTACTTTAAAGAGATCCTTGGCAACTGATTCTCCCATTAGAAGAGATCTATGTTTGTTTCCATTTCAATAAATATGATCCAACAGAATATGGAAATTATTGAACAATAACATTAATGTCATATGTAAACAAAATATTGCTTAAGATTATCCCACAATGGCTATAATGGCATATTGATAGAGAACTACCAGAAGTTCAAATTTAGAGACCATGGGACTAGTAATTTCTTTGCTAATATCAGCTAGATCTTGGCTGAAAACAGAGAATAGCAAAAGTATGTCTATTTATATTTATATTTGAGTGACTATGCAAAGGCATTTGACTGTGTAGATCATAACAAATTATCACTACAATTATGGCTAAAATTGAGAAGGGAATCTGAGAACACTTAATTGTGCTCATGAGAAACCTAAACTTAGATGAAGTTGTTGTTTGAACAGAGCAAGAGAACAGTATATGGTTTAAAATAAAGAAAAGTTTAAGTCAGACTGTATCTTGTCTCCATATCTAGTCAATCTGTATGTTGGTTAGATCTCGTGAGAAGTTGAACTTTTTGAAGAATAATGTGACATCAAGATCAAAGGAAGATTCACCAACAACCTGTGTTATACAGATGACACAGCCCAGTTTGCTGAAAGTGAGGAGAATTTGAAATGCTTAATGTGGAAGATCAAAAACTACGGACTCCAATATAGATTACATCTCAACATCAATAAAACAAAAATCTTCATCACTGAGCCAATAGGCACGTCATGATAGATGTATAATTGAAATAGAAGTGAAAGATTGAAATTGACAATGATTTCATCATACTTAGATCCACAATCAATACATTTGGTGCCAACAGTCGTGAAATCAAAGGAAAGTTTTCTGTCAAGGACCTCTCCAAAGTATTAAGGAGCAATGAACTTTGTCATTTTAAAAACTAATGTGTGCCTGATTCAGGTCATGATCTTTTCAATCACTTGTTATGCATCTGTGAGCTGGACAATGAATAAGGAAGATGGAAGAATTGGTGCCTTTGAGTTACAGTGTTGGAGAGGAATACTGAATATTCCAAGGACTGCCAAAAGACCAAATAGGTATGTCTTGGAGAAGGTCCATTCAGAGTGCTCCTTGGAGGCAAGGATGGCAAAGCTTCATCTCATATACTTTGGTCATGATGTTAGGAGGGATATTCCTTGGAAAGAGGCATCATGCTTGAAAAGGTAGAGGGTCTGTTAAAGGGAGGAAGACCCTAAACAAGATAGATTGATTCAGTGACTGCAGCAATGGGCTCAAGTATGTCAGAAATGAAGAAGATAGCACAGGATAGAATAGGGTTCAGATCCACTGTTCATAGACTTTTTATGAGTTGTATTCAAATTGACAGCTTCTAACAAGAACAATACTTACTCCCATGACTCTGCTTCCATTGGCATTTAATTGTGGATACAAATATAACTAAGTCCCAGCCAACTTAAAACGGTTCTCCTTTTATCACGATGGTGATCTCCCCCCTCCCCACCCCATTTATAAGCTGTGCTGCAATCCTAAAGACACATGGTTCAAATCCACCAGCTGTTCCATGGGAGAAAGATGGGTGATTGCCTCCTGTGCCTCTACTGCCTCTGAAAAACTGCTGGAGGTTCAGCTGTGGATTGTTCTGACTCAATGATATACAACAACAGTGAAGATCTGAGATTTCTTTATGTTGAAGTATAATCTACAC